GCCCTAGCTGATACATTTATGTAGAAATAATGATATTTAATTTTTATCATAAATTGTAAAATAATATGAATAAAATAATAAAAGAATATATTCTTTTGCACCCAAGTCATGTTGGCTGCTGGTGTGAATGTTCAGGCATAGGCCAATAAACCAGCTTTACCCCTCCCCCGCCCCATGGTACTCACTGCTAGCACACAAATCACTTCTGCAACTGAAAAAAATTATGAAAATAATGTGCAGCAAAATTCATGCCAACTTGTGGTTGTAGGGTGAAACTTAAAAAAGTGCCTAGGTAAATTTGCTGTACACATTTGTGTATGATATTTAACAATTTAATCTTCAACTTTGAATTCAAAACATGGGCTGTGTGTGCAAACCAAGACATTCACCTTTTCACATCTTAGCTGTAAGTGTAAATTTCAACTTACACATACAGTACAAATATTATTGTCACAGGTTTCACATTCATATGTGCAATCTCTTGAGAGTTGCTACTGGTTTACCTTCACAGGCTGAAGCCCAGCAGAGTTTACTTTCCACCCTGCAACGTGTAGATTTCCAAGAAACCTCAATTAGCACTAAATTAGTTTGATCAGGTGTGTTTAATTAGGGATAAAGCTTAACTCTGCAAAGCTATGCGCCCAGGAATGTTGCGGTCCAAGGTTATTATAGTTAAAAAAAAAACAAAAAAAAAAAAACGAAAACTAAAATGTAAAATAACTGTCGATAACTGAAATAAAAATAAAAACGAGTTTTTAAAAAAAAACTAAAACTAACTGAAACTGTATTGTGTACATACAAAACTAACTGAAACTAACTAAAATTATGAGAGGGGTCTGGATGCAGACCTGGTGCAGTGCAATCTGAGCTGCATCCAATGCTTTTTAATGGGCTCACCTAACCCCACCCCTAACCCTACCTGTCACAGTGACGTCACTCGCTCCATTTGAGTGCATTGTGTCTGACAGTGCATTGCTGAGTGATGCAATCTCAGCTTGCATCATAAAGGCTGCATCCAGATACTATTAAACAATTATTGCAAAAACCTCCTTTGTTTTCGTATTTGTGAATGTATTTAACACGTAATCTTACTGTAAGCCTTTTAGAAGTAAATATAATCCGCGCTGCTGGTGTTTGTGTTTGACCCTTTCGCACCTCAGATTCTTCTGCTGCCATTGGCCAGGTAGAGCGGTTCTCTTTCAGTCATCCTCGCTGTTGCTCCGCCGCCAAAAACAACGAGTGGACATGACAGCAGCACGGTGACAGCATTAAATACAGACACTTTAAACTATTACTTTAACAAATTTATGCCCAATATTGTGTTTTATTTCTGTATCACGATCACGAACGAATCTTTTTTTTTACCGGATCTTCTAAGTGAACCAGTTGAACTAGTTCACCAAATCAAACAGAATCATTTAAAACAATTTGCATCTCCAGTAAGCACTTATCCACAAACTACTTACTTTTTAACAAGCCCAATAACCCCCTCTGACTCTAAATAATCCAATATATACTCTCATTCAGTTATTAGAACAGTGACGTTACACTGAGAAGCGGTGAACCGATAATACTGCACATGCGTAATTCAGTGAACCAAACACAAACAGTACAGCCTGCTGTGTGACTGAACTAAGCTTGAACAACTGCAGCGCGAGTAAACCGAGGGCTTAAATGAGAGGATCTGGTAAAAAAACATAAGTTTATTTCATAACAGTAAATCGTAATGGAATTTAAATAAGTGAATCATGATTCAGTTGGGTTGCAAAACTTTTTTTCATGATTTTTTCAGATCATGGTAATGTTTTAACTGACTGAAATTACTATTGCTTATTACATAATGTTGAGTCCTAACATCCGCGTTAAATATATCTGCACTTCCCATCACTACTGTGTGCCTAACCTCAGAGTAGCCTTGCACTCATATTGTACTTAGGGCTGCTATCTTGTGGGCTGTTGCATTTGAATTTGAGAATGGGTTTGGTATTGGTAGATAATTGTGTTCATGTGTTCTCTAAATACAGGTTTTAAAAAATGTATGACTGAGTTTTTGTTATACAATATTTATCCTGTTGATTTTAAATCTTGCAACTAACAAATATCCTCGTTTAGAAAAAAAAAACTAAACCTAATACTGAAACTAATAAAACTTAACTAAAACTAAGTCATTTCAAAATATAGAAACTAATAAAAAACTATTAAATCTACCTCTAAAACTAACTAAAACTAACTGAATTGAAAAACAAAAAGTCAAAACGAAATAGAAACTAAAACTAATGAAAAACCCAAAACTATTACAACCTTGTTGTGGTCACATTAGAGTTTGTGCTTTTGTTTTGGTTTTCGACTGGTCTAACCCAATCACGTGATGTGATTTTGTATGTCAGAGTTCACCAACTTTCCATGCAGCAAACTGTGAAACTTGTCACATGAGTTTTCATTTTCAGTCTGTTGCATTTGCATGCGTATGAATGGAAGTCCATGGGGCGAAAACTGCAATGTGACCGCAGCTTTACATGTCATGCCGCAGTCACACTAGAGTTTGTGCATGCAAAATTCTGTTGAACGGCACTGCGAAAAGGGGCAGGACCAATTGGGTCTCACCCAATCACAAGATGTGATTTACATTCATACTCATGCGAATGCTTTAGACCAGAAAAGCAAGCTTGTGCAACAAGTTTCGCAGTTTGCTTCATTGAATAGTTCAAGCTTGGTGAATTCTGAACTATAAAAATGCATCACGTGATTGCATGAGACCAATTAAAGATCAAAACAGGACCTTTAAGAACAGAAATGTTAAATATTGTACAATCGCTCGCTTATTTTTTTTATGTCTAATCATCTAGTTTTATCCTGCCACTTTTCACAGCACCATACTACAGAATTTTGCATGCACAAACTCTAGTATGACTATGCATTAGGCTATGGTCACACTGCACTTTTTGCCATTTTGGTGAATTCTGACCTGCGAAATTGCATCACTTGATTGCGGGAGCTGAATAGAAAATCAAAACATGACCTCTTTGTACAGAAATTAAAAATATGGATCAATCGCTTGCTTTTTTATTGTCTAATCGTCTTGTTTAATCCCACCTCTTTTTGTAGAATTTCACAAGCTCAAACTCTAGTGTGACCGTGGATTAAGTAAGATGATATGGTAACACTTTACAATATCACACTAAAACATTTACTAGGCATTATCAAATAGTGAATTCATTATCTGTTAAGCATCAACTCTACATTGATAAACGTTAGTAAGCAGTTTATAACTGCAGCTACAAATGCTGTAGTCTAGACTTAAAAGCACATTTATAATGTGCTTAATAATTGTACTTTTATAATTTGTTAAAGATTTTTTTCCATTACTAAATTAAGTATTGCATTATATACAAACCAGTTATTTAAACATGGCTGGTGTTTTTTTAAGATCATTCAGATTGAGTTAGTAAATGATTAATAAAATATTCAAATTAACATTTATAACTCTTATTATTCAGGCATATACTTATAGTTAATTTTTATGTTAATAAATGCTTTATTTACTCAACTTCATTCAGTTTTGTGACCTAATCTAAAGTGAGGACTATTCATGCTTTGTAAATCCCTTATAAATGACAATTAAAGACTCAGTTAAATTCTAAACAGTAAAAAAAGAACATAAACAACCTCATTTCTATTCATTTGAAGATACACAAATGAAACTGTATCAAATGAAAAATAAAAACTAAACCTTATCTAAAACTAAATTTCTTGTACAGTTTCATGAATTCATTTTCTTGTCGGCTTAGTCCCTTTATTATTCCGGGGTCGCCACAGCAGAATGAACCACCAACTTATCCAACAATTTTTTACGCAGCTGATGCCCTTCCAGCCGCAATCTATCTCTGGGAAACATTTCTTTGGACTGTGGGGGAAACCGGAGCACCCGGAGGAAACCTACGTGAAGGCAGGGAGAACATGCAAACTCCACACAGAAACACCAACTGAGCCGAAGTTTGAACCAGCAACCCAGCGACCTTTTTGTTGTGAGGCGACAGCACTACCTACTGTGCCACTGGCTCGCCTCTTGTACAGTTTAAGCATTGCATTCTGTGGTATTGTTAAATTATTATATTGTTGTTGTTTTATTCAATTTGTCGTATTTTACACTCCTGTTATCCAGCAAAGATTGAACTTTACAGTAGTTTGACTTTATAGATAAGATTGCAAAGATTATTGTTCATTTGATACTGAGCCGTTAATAGTCATTTATAAGGGATTTATAAAGCATACATAGTCCTCACTTTAGATTAGGTTGAGTTAATAAAGCATTTGTTTACATACATAGTAACCATTACTACATGCCTGAATAATACAATATATAAATGCTAGTTTCAATAGTTTATTAATCATTTACTCAGTCATTCTGAATGATCTTTAAAACCTGCAGCTACTCTTGATACAAATGGTTTGTAGGTAATGCAATACTTTATTTACTAATGAAAAATCAACCAGTTACCAAGTATGAAAGTACAATTATTAAGCACATTATCAATGTGATTATAAGTCAATAATACAGCATTTGTAACTGCAGTTATAAACTGCTTACTATTGTTTATTAATGTAGAGTTAATGCTTAACAAAAAAAGAAGTAACTAGATGCTAATGCTTAATAAATGATTCATAGTGTGTAGTTAGTAAAAAGTGTTATCGATGAGGGTTAAATATTTGTCATCTGTGCTATATACACTGTTGCTGTTTAGTCACTGTAATGATTTGTTTACAGTAATTTACTGGCAACACTGTTCCCAGTTACTCTGAATATTTATAAAAAATAAATTATATTATATTTTAAATCTAATATATTTATATAATATGAACTAAATGTATCAATAAAAACAACAGTTTACTACAATTATTCTGCGCAAATCAAAGATACATGAAAAAATTGCTTTCATCTTGTTTTACCTGCCAGTAATGGCTTTCCAAACATTCATGCATATAAATTATGATACAAAATGTAAACCACATAGACATATCAGAGTGATATGCATTTAACTTTTTATTACAGTCTAATCTGAGTAATACAAAAATAAATCCAAAATCAGCAAATCTCCAACATTTCTCGATAAACACCCTCGCAAGGTTTTGTGCTCAAAATTACTGACGTTATTAGTTTTCTCAGCCTTGCCTTCACAGACTCGCTGAAATATTTGTGATAAAACGAGCCTTGCTATTTTGGTCTAAGCAAAAACTCTCCACAGCCGGCAATTCTTCATGAAAGCACTATAGAGAAGCAGCCGACCGCCAGTGTGATTGACAGCTCCTTTATACTTCACAACAGAGAGAAAGATGAGCTCTCCTGCAGACAGGAAAGCCCATACCCTGAAACAGATCAAGAAGTAAGTTGCTGCTCAGTTTTGGATCGATAATATCTAAAGGGAAAAGCCCACTGGGAGGCTCTTGAGAGGAAATAGCCCAGAGGAAGCAGGTAATAAAAAAGACAAGTACTTTACACAATACAGAAATGTGTGCTCTAATAAAACACCCACCACTGCTGCCTTTGAATCCTTTAAATGGCATAGATTATTTTGAACCATGAACCCCAGATATGTATTGATTATACTGCAATGTGTTATGAATCTACGGTTATAATATATACAGTATGCATTAGTAAGTGCCCTTTCTAATGTGTCCCCAGTGTAAAAGGGGGTAATATGTATGGGTAAAAGAGTAATGTGTAATCATGTGAGATGTGATCAGCAATGTGAAATGGAAGATCAGCTCTACGGTCGGTTAAGTGTAATTTAAAACTGCCGCTCAGCAATGAACTGAGGTGTGTTGAGAAGCCAAACTCTGTCTAGTTCTTCTCAGGCCTGCCAGACACTCAAACAGACATGTTCTGTCAGGTCTCAGTTAAGTCCAAGTCTGTCTTAAGTTTTTGTTTAAAAAGGAAAAAACCTTTTGTGTTAAGCAAGTTATTATCAATATCACATGATCATGATTGATGTTTCTTTTTCTGAAATAAAAAGTTGGATTTAAGTTACATTTTTTTTGTCCCATGAAATTAAAATAAAAAAATGAATTATTATACAAATTATACAGATTATCTTTAGATTTTAGTTAATATTAAGTTAATTCCGCCTAAAAGGATCAATGGTATTTTTAGTCCCCTCAGACTTCAGTTTCTCATCAAATCTTTTGCTTATGCTTCTCCATAGACGTATTTAAGCTCAACCACTTTTACTGGTAGAGCTGTTAAACAGTTAGACATTTTCTTTGAAAGGGGAGGGGCTACTCTATGTCCCACCCTCACTTCATGTTTAATCATTTCATGATTGATGTGGTTACATTTGACTTTTTTGGACTAGTTTGATTATAAATACTTAAATTAGCAGAGTTCATGTTATTCCAGCTATTTTTATGAATGAAACATTAGTGTTTTTCTTTTACTTGTTCTCCTCCTGATTTTTTCCTCTTTTTTTTAGTTAATAAGTTTTTCTGTGTAAATGATTTTGTGATTTTGTTCTACTGACGAAACACTGTAGCTTGCAGTAAAATATGTCACAGTCTGTCTCATACAGTATGCCCCTCACTCAATCATAATCAAGAACCAAGTCTAACTGTTATATAATTGTCTTCTAAAATAATTTTTCAACTCAGGAACTATTCATCTTTGATGAAAGTCTTTCTGATTATGTGTCTGATAGACTTCCTTCCTTCTTTAAATAACACTGGCACTCAAGGGAAATATTTCTCCTCAACTACAAAAATGTCTTTAAATTTCAGTTCAAGTCATGTCCCAAATCAAATGCTCAGTTAAGTCTCCATTCATCTCTGCACTTATGTTCGGCATTAATTTTCCCCTGTAATAGGCAACATTTTAAACTCAGCCAGTAATCAGCCTCAGAATGGAAATCTGTATATGCGTTATTGAATAATGAGCATCATTCAGCTTATGTGATTTTCTAGATTAAAATGAAGGCAAAACACTTTATAAAATATAGTTAGTCATCATTCAGATGGGGTGACAATTTAATTATCTAGTTATGTGGCGGTTGAAATAATAAGCGACTAACAGGAGCAGCAAGTGCATCAAAGCAGAGCTCATTAATATTTATGACCATTCCAAATACGGTCAAATGGCAGAATGTCATACCTAAATCTGTTTCTTTTTTTTACAATTACCTAAGCCATATGCCTAGTATTTAGATATCAGAGAACAATTCAAACATATTGTATCAGTGCATTCCATGGCATCTTTAAAAATGGCTATGCCATAAGCGGCTGGTTTGTCTTTCCATCTGTGCAGTTTGCTGAAGTTTTGCTCTGTCGTTCCCAGCCTTGACGGATACGGGTGACCTTGCGGTCCACACATGGGGTGATCAGGATTAGTTTCAGGATCAGAACCACACAGGGAACCACTAGAGACAACATATATGCAGGAGGCATCCACCACTTGTAAGGTTTTAGAAATTTATCCCAGCCATAGAGAAATGCGTGAGCAGTACAGAGCAGCACGGTGGTGTAACCCAGTTTAGACTGTAAAAGAAACAAAAGAATAATCATTTTACACTATAGAGGAAATAACAATAATTCGATCAAATACTATAGCTATTTGACAGAATTAATGGGCATATTATATTTTATGGTTATATTAAAAGGCAACACTGCATTTTCTAAAAACTACTATACAGTTGTTCTATATATAATCACATCATTGATTATTGAATACATACTAATTTAAATAGATACTTCACCCCCCTAACCAAAAAAAAAAAAAAAAAAATTCTGTTATTATTAACACAACCTCATGTCATTCTAAACATGTAAGACCTTTGTTTATCTTCAGATCATAAATGAATAATAATATTATGAAATCTATGAGCTCCATGACCCCACCACGGAAAGCAAGGGTCCTGAAACGGTCATCAAAACAGTTCATGTGTTATCAGTGCATCAGTGTTTCATTTGTAATTTTATGAAGCAGAAATAATGACTTCATTATGCTCTTCAGGATTATTTAATACTTTTGTGTACAAAATATTATTCTTGTAGCTTGATAAAATTAGTGTTAAACACATAGACTGTTTTGATGATGTTCTTTGGCAAGGCTCTTTTCTGTGCTTTGAACGTTTTAGGGTATTAGCTTCCAGGATCTCAGATTTAATCCAAAACTTTTTAATTATGAAGCTGAATAAGGGTCTTACAAGTTTGGTAGGGTGACTACCTTCGAGTGGGGGTTGAAAATCTTAATCTTTGGGTGAATGATCTCTTTAATATATTAGATATCTTTCAAATCTCAGCAAAGAAAGAAAACAACACTGGCCATATTACTTTCTACTTTCATGTTCTCCAATGAAACTGATGCATTTGAATGGTTATTGTCAATGCAATACCTGCACAAAACTGAACTCCTTCCAGTTTAGAGAGTTGCTCACAGATGGAAGGGATGTAATTCCTAACAGGACAAACAGCCCAAATCCAAGAATTCCCATGGAATAGTAGGAATCATGACGCCAGGCTGCTACATTGTCAAACTCGTAGGTTTTATTATCCTTTACCTGAAAAATAAGATATCAAGAACAACATATATATTTTTAATCACCGCACTCATTCAGTTGTTTTTGCACATGGGAACACAACATTTGCGCACATTTTTTAATACTGTTAATGTACTGTAGTAAACAGTGACATCAACCAGTATTTGCAACACACTTCACTTTCATAATAACATTATTTATTAGTAAACCCATGTATTTATTGTAATGTAATGTAATGTAATGTAATCAGTACTTAATTTGTGAATTGCGAAGTCCCGGAACGGATGGGGTAACGAATCCGGCATGCTACCTGAGGATGGAAAGGTGTCATGCAGCGGGGCGTTGGATGGCGGAGGGGTGTCGCAGACGAAGGACGAAAGTGAAGAGGTTTGTGGAGTCGCGGAAGAAAGTGAAAGTAAACATCGGACTGGAAAGGAGGGCGGTTGAGGAGAGGGATTGGTAAAATGAGGTGCCGGATCAAATTTCAGAGGTGCCAGATCCAGCGTGTTCCAGCACAAATTAAGCCCTGAATGTAATGTAAAGTGTATTTATATTTAGCACATTCATTGTGTATAGCCATACACCCAAAGCGCTTTACAATCATAAGGGGGGTCTCTCCACACAACCACCAGTGTGCAGCATCTACTGGGATGATGCTAAGGCAGCCACAGGACAACGGCGCCAGTGCGCTCACCACACACCAGCTATTGGTAGAGTGGAAAGAGAGTGATAGAGCCAATTGGGTGGATGGGAATGACTGGGAGGCTGAAGTGGCAACGGCCGATGGTGAAAATTAAGCCAGGACACTGAGGTTACACCCCTTCTCTTTACAAGAAGTGCACAAGAAGTGCCAAGACCTCGGTTAAGTGTCTCATCCGAAAGACGGCGCTCAATGACAGTTTAGTGTCCCCTTCACTATACTGGGGCATTAGAACTCACCCCGACCACAGGCTGAGTGCCCCCTGGTGGTCTCACTAACACCACTTCCAATTTTATTGGATCTTAAAAACATTTCTAAAGTAATGCAGATTATTACTATAAAAAAGATTGAAACTTTGAAACAATTAAACATAAAATGTGTAAGTGTAATTGTCACAATAATCCCAGGAAAATATGCATTAGGTGACCCTGAAATCAAAATCCTCATGGCACTCCAACCCAAATTTGTGGTTCATCTTTGGAACACAAACAAAGATGTCTGAAAAAGATCTGAAACATTTCTACAGAATCCCTCCATTCAAACTCTTAAATACCCAAAACTCTGACACTTTAAATATTTTGTAAAAATGTAAAAAAAAAATAAAAATAAATCCATATGAGTTTCATTTAATTTAAGTCTTCAGAGATTTATTTAATTAAAATATTTAACCACACCTGCTTGATGTAAAAGAACAAACTTCAATGTTTTTTGTGCTGCTTGACACGTGCATGCTGTAGACATTGTTCACTAATCAGTTACATGTGAATAAAAGTTTATAAAACATTTGTTTTCACAAAAAGTAAAATTTCAGTTCCGAAGTGTTGGATTAAACCACTTGACTATTGTGAATTATTAATTTAAAGTTTTTATTTTCAGTATTAAGACAGAAATGTCTTAAATTTGATAAAAAAAATTAACAAACGTTATGAACACTTTTTTTCATGGGTTCAGAACTACTTAATTAAATTATGGTAAATTTTTCATTTTGGGGTGATCAAAACCAAAAAAATTCAAATATGGGTTTGTTTGGATTAATATTTATTTTAAACAGCTTGGAGGTAAAAAAAACAAAAACATGTTCATTACAGAACAACTAAGCCTTAGAAATGTAAAAGACATCTTACCAGTGATATAGTGTAGACATTGATCCTGTAGCGCACATAGTATCTGATGGGTATCACAAAAGTGTAGAGAACATGCAGAAAAGCGAAGGCCAGAGCTAACAGGCCCAGCTGCTTCCTGCACAGCATCCAGCGATCTAACCAATCTGGGAAACGACGGTACTTGGTGCCATTATAAAGCTGCAGGAATCCTGCCAAAGCTCCCGGCAGGTAACAGAGGGCCAGCATCACCAGAGAGACAATGGGAAACACCTTGTTGGCCAGCGAGACCATAATGCGGAAAGTGATGTCTTTTCCGTTGGTAACTCGCTCATAGATGACATCTCTCGTGAGGACATAGAAGAAGATGAAAGCTGCTAAACCAATGGCGATGTAGAAAGGAAGCCTCCAGAGGGGGAAGAGTTGCAGGGGCAGATCTTCTAACCCAGCAGCTGCTCGGAGAGAGCCTTTATCCAGAGCAGTGAAACCCAGTCTTTGAGCAATGTCCACTACTTGCTGTTTGGCCTCAGCCTGGTCTCCGCAAATAAGGACCTAATCAAATGATGGGAAAAAAGAAAATAAACAATAACACCACTATACAGCATGCCATATGTTGTTGTGTAACAATAACAAATGCACACTGTACAAAAAATAAAAGAAAAGTAAAACAATTGACAGTTTGTTGATTTTGTGATATTTTTTCTTTTTCAAAAGTTAATGATGTCAGAATGTACCGGTATTTTGGAATGAATGTGTGAATGAGCTTTTTCAGAAAAATTCTGGAACGCCCTTGCATATGTGAACAGAGCTTTTTTGAATATATCGGTAAAGTTTTTCTGGTAATTTTCCGCATAATTACTGGTATCGATGTGTGAAAGGGCTTATGTTAATAAAATGAAATCAAATCAGTGGTTGCATATTAGATTTTTTTTCAAACTTTCTAAAGAAGTCAAACTTTAAGACCAGTTTTTAAATTATTACTCTCTCTAATATGCACTGGTATTTTATTACATCTTTCTGCTGCTCTGACTGAAAAAAAAAACAGTCCAAAAACACTTTTCTTGAGTTTACCTGAACAATCCCCTCTAACTGAAGACTTATATTGTTCTTGCAGACAATCACACATTGTTTGAGAGGTGGTGGTGCAAGATCATTAAATATTTTATACATTAAAAACACATCAGCATAAAATAAGAAATTGTCGAATGTTAATTTATGTTGTTCAATACAGTTACAGTAATGATAGCTCTTTAGCTTTTTTAGCAAAAACTTTTACAGTTTGTTTGTAGATAATATAAGATGGTTTTTATGTTGTAATGTACTTGTGTGACCACCTTCTAGCACAATAAGATAAATGAGAGAAAATCATTGTGTTCATAAAAAGTTTAGCAGCAGCCATAGGTAATTGATACCTGTTTTTTTTATAAATCCTCAGGCTTGCTTTAGCACTTTTGGAAACTTTCTTAATGTGTTTTTTTATTTAAATTATAGTCAATAATTAAACCTAAATATTTAAAATGATCAACTATATTTATTACATCTCTATTAACTAAAATATCTGAGCAATGCACCTCATTTTTATTTCATGTTTAAAAAAAAAAAAAACATGAATAACATAACCATTCTATAACTTTCTTGAGTTTAACAGTAAGTTGGTTAGCAGCTTGTTTTTGGGTTTTTGTGTGAGTGTATACTACTGTGTCATCTGCATACATTTGAACCTGAAATTCTGGACACACTGATGCAAATCATTCATGTACATTTGAAGAAATATTAACCCCCCTTTTTTCTACTTCTTTAAATATTTCCCAAATGATGCAGAGATCAAGATCTTGTAATGCTATTTGAAAGAGTAAATGAATGTAAAACACATATGAATCTTAAAATATGGGAAAGTGAACAATTGCCAATACAATATTAATATGAAGTGTCAAAGAACTATGCTACAGTATAAAATTTAATGTTGCACACTTCAACGTTAAATTTTTTAATGATAAACAACATGTATGCACGTTAATACAAGCTAATTTATTAAGAGAAATTAAAAAAACCTGCACTAATATTAGTGAAGTCCCATGAAATCTACACCAGCAATTACTTAATTAATAAATTTATTTTAGAACATGATTATCTATTACATCGTTATAAATAACATATCAAAATTCACACAAATATCATCATCTAAAAAGAAAACATAATTTAATGACAATTTTAAAGTGTATAAAAACCTGTCACATACCAGACGAAGAGCTCAGTGCTACGCATTGTCTCATTCAGTTAAGAACATCAGTCTAAAACCTAAACACCAAACAGGTAAATGTTCACTTTAAGACTAAAATGACATTGATGAATTAGAAGGCTTTGAAAGAACAGAGCAAATGGAAAGAGAAATCGCAAGTTCTTTTTGTGAAGCATACCGATCTTGTTCTGGTCATGGCATAAAGTGCAAAATTAGTTTAAAAGGTATATAATTTTCAAAACAGCTATGCACATATTGTTAGTTCATGATACAAAATGCATTAAGTAATATCAACAAATAGAGTGTTATTGTCTTACCACTCATGCAAAAAAAAAAAAAGATCTTCAAGTGGTTTGATTGTTTTTGACTCATTTTAACAAGTTGCCATTCTGCTGACCTACAAAGCCCTTTAAACAAAACGCTTCTTTAATAGTTTTCGACAACATTGAAATATCCTCTGGGAATTAAATTTAGTTCACATCAAAGTGCAGTCAGAGCACAAACAATAAAATATGTTGTCACAGTTGGCCTTTTGAAATAGAACAAGAAGTTATAATCAAAGTGGGAAATAATAACAAATAGACTGCTTGGCCGGGTGCGACTATTCATTTTTAGTGAGAAAAAAAACACAAACAGGTGTTAAAGAAAATACACACTAACACAGCGATAATAATAGTTTGCCAAAGCCCTGATTCCATCTGGCCAATTTCTCAACCACCAGATGCTGATGTGAATACGACTTTCTTACAAAAAGACTCTATCAAATAAGATGCTCACATCATCTTCGGGGCAATCCTCAGCTGTAACCGAGATTTATGCTTGTATAGACATGCACTAATGTCTCTTTTGAACTGTGACATGCGTCATCTAGCTGCCTTACAATAGAGGTAGCGTACAAAAAAAATATATGAAGTAGTTTTATGCCATTTGTCATGCCTGTTTTTTTGTTCATATTATAACAAGAAAAGCTCATTCAAACCCCAAAGCCTGCGTGTCTTTATTCAGGGCTGTTTTGGGAGACAGTCTGTTAAGCTTGATTCATTAAATTTTAAACATCTCTGTTCAAAACAGCTTTTTTATGTGCTTTGCCCCTTGTTGCTTCAATGATTAACATTTTGCAAGATTTAGAGACTGAGACATCTGGATAGTTTTTCCGTGTCTTAATCTTGTTTTTCCCTGACTAACTGAGCAACTTTTAATTGAGTCATTTGAACTAAAGGAAGCATGAAAAATGTTTCATGTATTAACTTGTTTAGACTTGTTTACAACACATGCTCGTTGGAAATAATTGACTTAACTTACCTATACAAAAAATGAAGAGGCCACTTAACAGTTATCCTTTTTTAAGTAGTACAATACAATTTTTTTGTTGTTGAGTGATTTAGTAAAACATTACTTTTTTTTGTTTTATTCAGTAATAGTGATGGCATTTATTCCAATAAAAAAAATAAAAATGTTGCCATTTAAAGAATTTCTTAGGCAGAAAAAAATGACAAAAATGTGTCTATAATACATACAATTCTGACCAATTACTAAGTGGCAATATTTTGCAATTTTTTATCTGGAATTCGAAACTATTTCTTTATCAGACCTATAGATTTTAACAAATGTTAAATTAAACTCAGACTCCACTATTGGTATAGTGTGTCCGTTGTCATATTGAGGTGATATAAAGACAATAAGTCTTTTTTTTAAAAATACCTGACATTAAAATAGGATCCAAATTATTTCCATTTTGAGGCCGACCGCAACGTGACGTAGAAGTGTTGTTTCCCTGCCCACTGAATTGATTGACATGTCTCCGTAGTAATGCGTATAATCAACAAGACAGGATGTTTGCAAAGCAACCAGGATTAAAAGACCGGTTTAGCTCGCGGTCCCACTTTATATTAAGTGTCCTTAACTACTATGTAATTGCATCAAAAAATAAATACAATGTACTTACTGTGTGCATAATGTATTTGAGAACACTTGTGGTGCACTTGAGTTGGGATAGAGGTTGGGTTATGGACAGGTTTGCTGGTATGGGTAGGTTTAAGGGTGGGTTAAGGTGTAAGGGATGGTCAACAGTGTATTTACAAATGTAATTACAGAAGTTAAATAGAGATGTAATTACATACAGGTATTTAATCAAGCATAAGTACACAGTAAATACATGTATTTACACAACAAGTACATTGTAACTATTAATTCCTGTGTAAGTACATATTAGTTAAGGCCACTTTATATTAAGTGGGACCTAGCTCGCTGTGATCATTTATCATTATCAAATGTGATCAAGAATGAGTTTATTTTAAAACAGGACATGTTGTAATAAAGACAGTAAAATCACTGTAATTTATCACCAAATCCACATGTCAGTACATTTATAAAAGTAGTGCCATCAATCCCAGTTTTTAAATGTTAAATCAGGTTTATTTTGTACATAAATATAACAGTTATTCATACAACAGTGGATAATGAGGTGTTTCCTGTCACATTTGCCGTGCTAAAACACATTTACCATGCAAATTTAAACACGTGCGCTGTGTGTGTGTTTGTTTGCGTGTGTGTACATGAACTTTGTAATGACATTGTGTGTGACTCATCATTGCAGAAAGGCTTGAATTAACTCCACATTAAATACATTAAATAATCATTGAGAAAGTTCTTACTGTAGTATTTCTGTCAAACTGTTCTGTTTTACTGAAGCAGTAGGAGATGGAGAGAGTCTAAAGGCTGATTTATACTTCTGCGTCAAGCGTACGTGTATGCTCCGGCGCAGCCTGTGCGTAGTCACATAGCCCTCGCTGTGGCTGTTGCTAAAGCTAACGTCTCAAAAAATGTAACTATACGTCAGAACGACACGTATAGTAAGCTCTGTGATTGGTCAGCTTGATGATGCTGACAAGTGTGGGTGGGACAAGAGCCACGCAAACCCAGCCATATCACCCTGCAGCCCAAAACCGGTTACTCACTGAAGCTAAGCAGGGCTGAGCTTGGTTAGTACCTGAATGGGAGACCACATGGGAAAACTAGGTTGCTGTTGGAACTGGTGTTAGAGAGGCCAGCAGGGGGCGCTCAATCTGCGTCTTTGTGAGTCCTAATGCCCCAGTAAAAGTGAAGGGGACACTAAACTGTCAGTAGGCGCCGTCTTTCGGATGAGACGTTAAACCGAGGTCCTGACTCTCTGTGGTCATTAAAAATCCCATGGCAACTTCTCGTAAAGAGTAGGGGTGTGACCCCGGTGTCTTGGCCAAAGTCCCTCAATTGGCCATTACCCATCATGGCCTCCTAATCATCCCCTTCCACCGAATTGGCTCTATCACTGTCTCTTCACTCCACCAATAGCTGGTGTGTGGTGAGCGCACTGGCGCCGTTGTCCTGTGGCTGCTGTCTCATCATCCAAGTGGATGCTGCACACTGGTGGTGGTGTGGAGAGACCCCTGTCATGACTGTGAAGCACTTTGGGTGTATGGCCATACACATAAAATGCACTATATAAATACACATTACATTACATTACATTACAAACCTGTTGTAGATAGTGTTTACAAGTGTCAAGTTCAGTAATGGAGACTTAGATGGAAATTTTTGTTTTGTGTTTATCTCATAATTAAGTTGTTGCACGTCTGCCGGTACTCGTCTCTGAATGAGTGGGTTTTAGCTACTTCTACATTAAGGTAGCGATCAGAAAAACCAGCTAACGTTTCAGAAGTGTTATTGCAGAGCAACACAAACAGCACGCAGTAGTACAAATGCACGACAACGTGCAAGGCATGTGCCGTAGGTCACACCAATCACTCAACGCAGAAGTATTTACCAGGCTTACCAGGCACATGGGAACAGTAGGTGGGGAGAACTAGCTCATTTGCATTAAAGGGCATACTTATACTATGTACAGATGCATTGAATCGGGCCAAAGCACGCTAGTTCCCCCTTCCGTCTCCCCCGACAGCCCGGACTCACATTACATTCGGGCCAGGGCACGATTACATTGATGCTGCGCTGTTCAGTAAGCACTCTCGGTCAGCAAAGTGGAGATTTCTTTAGTTATATCATTTAAGTTGTTTGATATGCAGTAACCCGCAGTCAAATATTTTGCCAAACAGCTCTGCCATTTTTGATGCTCATAAACAATCATTAAGTCCTCGTGCTGCAGGGATTAGGAGGTTTGCTGAAGGTGTGCAGCTGTCATGCAGTGAGGGGTTTGCGTCTTTAATAAACTGCGACAGTTTGCGATCACTGAACAGTAAGAATGATTAATAATTCCATATGAAACAGTCCCTAAAAGTCACGTCTCACTTTAAGTTTTGGGCGTAGGCACGTTTTGCACTCACACACAAACATACCGCACTAATGCCCAAGTGAACCACGCTTCGGCGCGCTCACACTTCTCAAACAATCCGGGAAATGGGCCTGGGCACGGTTCGGATAGCATAGTGTGAGTAGGCCCTAAGGCACAGGCAACAAAAACAGCTACAATGTGCTCAGAGCAGAAAATGCCAATATTCTAAAAGCTATAATAAATAATCTGATGGATGTTTTGAGCTAAAACTTTACAGAGACCTTCTGGAGACACAAAAGACTTATCTTAAATCTATAATAGAGGTAAAATAGGTTACCTTTAATACTGTGTTTTAATAGCTGTACATTTCACTGTAGTTTGTTTCCAGGTGAAACAACCGTTAAAAAAAAATAAATCTTGAATTTCCTTTCCCACAAATCATGATTACAGGCAGATTGTCTTTGAAAAAACTTATTTTTGCTGTTCCTTGCACAATACTGTGAGGAAAAAAAAAAAAAAAACTTATACCATTATTTGTAACACATTTTATGATTTGCATCATCTATCTCCATATGGTGTTTCTGCTCATTTAAACTTGCTTGGCAGCTGTTTTATTGCAGTTACTTTTGTTGAAGTGAAAGCTCACCCAAAAAATACAAATCTGCTGTAACCATAAAGATCTACAGTAAGTGACTATTTTTTTATTTTTTAACAAAAAGTTAAAGATAAATAAATCATGTTCCTAGGCAATGGCGTGATTTTGGTTTGAACATTGAGGGCTTGAAGTGCAATTGTTCTACATTCATTTTCCTTTGGCTAAGTCCCTTATTTATCAGGGGTCACCACAGTGAATGGAACCGCCAACTATTCCGGCATATATTTTATGAAGCAAACGCCTTTCCAGCCACAACCCAGTATTGAAAAACACTCACTCTCGCATTCACACACACATACTCATACACTTTAGATACATTTTAGTTTACCCAATTCACCTACACTGTGGTGGGAACCGGAGCACCTAGAGGAAACCTACACAAACACAGGGAGAACAAGCAAACTCCAAACAGTCCCTCAAACATTGCTCCTGGTCCTTGGTGATTCATAAAATGCAAGTGATTGGATTTGAGCAGTTTACGGTCAGATAAAACAAACTTAATTCAAAAAAGATATAGCACCTCTTGTGGTCATGCCATCTAATAAGTACAGTAAAATTCAACCTGAAGCAATGTGCTTCATGTTTTGCATTAATGGATTTCCATTAATCCTGTGTTGTTTGTTTGCATTTATCTTTCCTTGAGACTCAAGGCTTGAGTGTAAGTGTATCTATAAGACCTGTTTGTTTATGTGTGTTTGTTTACCTGTCTGTTGGCATCCAGTCCTCCAGACTGTAGAGCCCAGGCAGAGATAGTGTTGAAGGCTTTGACTATGGTGGCCCCTGGAACCAGCCTGCTCAGGTATTCTGCATTAGATTCAGCGTAAAGCCCCGTTTTGATATTATTGCTGACATCTACCAGCACCTTTCCCTCAAGATCTGATGCCAGATGAGTCAAAAATCCATAGTGCTCCCTCTGCACCGCCACGAAAATCACACTTGCTTCACAAGCCGCAGCAGCATGAGCCATGACTTTTGAGCCTTTCGGCAGCAACAGAGAGTTTTTAGGGTCCCGGGATCCATATACAACACTGTACCCAGACTGGAGCAAACGGAGCCCCAGTGAGCGTCCAAAATCACCCGTTCCAAAAATACACACCGTGGTCTCCTGTTTGTGCAGTTTTTCATGCAAGTTCATCATTGCAACAGAGTCTGAATTCATTTCTTAAAAAATAATGGAAGGCACTGTAGGGGAAATAAGGTTCAATTAAATACTCAAGTAACGGCTATTACAAAGAAACACCAATTACACTTTTCATTGCAGATCTGGTACAATGGCTGTGACTGTAGATGATATTTCTGCTTGACTGATTTAAATGCTTGTTTTTTTTTTGGGATAAGCACAGAAGTAATCAGATTTAATTATGGTGTGCCCACAGTACATTTGAGTGCTCCGTTTAATTTATGGTTTATTTTGCCCCTTTACATAAGCACTGTACATAGGTTGACACTGTATATTGCAAAATATGCCAATTAAAAGGACTGAACTAAACTTAAATCTTTGAAGCAGCTTTTCGAATAGTGAATTTGATTGCAATAAATAGAAAGAACCAACAAATACTTACAGATAAAAAGGCAAAGGATTTATTTTCAGGAATTTGTGCACCACTCTCTGGAGAATCCACAGAAATTGGATCCTGAATGTCTATTAATGTGATTTTATTGCAGGATCTCTTATTCCTCGGTGCCAGTAACTGCCGTCATATCCCCAGAAGCCGTTTAGCAATGCGGTGTGATCATCAAAACCGTCTTTACACTTCTTTACTCCTTCCTCTTTTATCCACTGGCATTTCTATGCAGGACTGAAGTGGTTTCTCTGCTGTATGGCTCTGTTTATATGCACATGTGTGTGAGAGGCATTCATTTATGAGCCTCTGACCTGCCCACAGCTCAGTGGGGGTTTAGATTTAGAAAGAGAGAGAGAGAGAGCGAGCGAGCGAGAGAGAGAGAGAGAGAGAGAGGGGGGGGGTTGTTTTGGTAATGGATAAAGTCCAATGTGGAAATTCCAGGGCAAATGTAACACTGTGTGTGTGTTGAAAGGCAAAAAATGTTTGCTTGGATTTTCCTCCTGTGTGTTTTGAGGCCAAGGCCTGCCTGGAAGTAAGTTGCTCAACAGCGGGAAAAACACCGACTATCTGCCCAAATATCTCAACGCTTCAGAAAGAGTGCTGATTTGCTCCATATCAAAATAAAAAAAGCATTGCTACTGTTTGTTTATTCACTAAAAGAACTTTCCATAAACACAGTGAAATTCTTTATTTCTATGCTCCATAACAGATCACAGGCTAAAAAACAATTTAGCCAAAAATGAAAATAACCCCATAATTTACTCACCCCTAAGTTATCCTCAGTGTATATGACTTTTTTTCATCAAACGAAGCCAGTCTATTCATCCACGATGAATTTCACATATTATTCTGGCTCTTCAATGCTGTGTAATGGTGATGTATACTGGCTTTTATTTTGAAGCTTCCTAAAATGCATAAATCAGTCATCAAACTATCTTATAAATGCACCACCAGGGGCAGGCACGTGCACACATAGGGCTCAACCTGTGCAGTGCACATGCCCTTTTTAGTCTTGGATAGAAAGTGCCCTTCCAAAATAATCAAAAGTGCCCCCGCCCCCCTTCGGGCGCACCACAACACCGCTCTTGAGTACGCGAGCGATAACACCGCTCTTCAGTACGCGCGCATCCACTCTGCAGATCTGCACCAATCCCCCCCCCCCCGGTGTTCCAAAAATGTATCCTCACATGCCCTTTGGACGGTCTGACCAGGGGGTTAACACATGTCATATTTTACCATTATAAACTACAATAACTTGACTTCCGGCATGATGTATGATGCATAAAAATTAAAACTACTCTGACTGTGTTGGCTTCAGGGTGAGTAAATTATGGGGAATTTTTCATTTTGGGTATTTTCACACTTGAAGTTGTTAACAATGGGTCATTCTAAAACCCCTGCTCAGCCACATTCTAAAAAAAGCATTAATACTGTGTCAAATTTTAAATAAATAAACAAAAGAAAAAAATAGGCAAAGAACACAGAAAAAAGACTTTTAAGGTAAGAATAAATTGGTTGCATTTTTATGTCCCTGTTTGACATTTAGACAGCGCGGTGGTGCAGTGAGTAGTGCTTTCCCCAGTTGGTATTTCTGTGTGGAGTTTGCATGTTCTTTCTGTGTTGGCGTAGGTTTCCTCTAGGTACTCCGGTTTCCCCACAGGCCAAAGACATGCGCTATAGGTGAATTGGGTAAGCAAAATTGTCCATAGTGTATGTGTGTGAATGATAGTGTATGGGTGTTGGGTTGCGGGATAAGTTGGCGGTTCATTCAGCTGTGGCAACCCCAGATTAATAAAGGGACTAAGCTGAAAAGAAAATAAATGAATGAATGTTTGATATTTAGGGTGGCATGATGGCTCAGTTGTTAGCACTGTTGCCTCACAGCAAGAAGGTTGCTGGTTCAATTTCCAGCTGGGCCAGTTGGCGTTTCTGTGCGGAGTTTGCGTGGCTTCTCATTTTGTGTGGGTTTCCCCACAAATTGGCCACAAATATTGTGAATATGAGAGCGTTTGTTTCCCAGTATGCGGTCAGCCAAAATAGCTGGCGGTTCATTCCACTGTGGCGACACCTGATAAATAATAGACTCAAGGCTGATTTATACATCTGCGTCAAGTGCACGTATATGCTCCAGCACAGCCTTTGCGTGGTCGCATAGCCCTCGCCTTGGCTGATACAGATGCACACCTCTCAAAAAAAATTAACTACATGCCGCAATGACGCCTAGCGCAAGCTTTGTGATTGGTCGGTTTGGTAGTAAACCTGTTGGAGTGAGTGTTTACTAGTGTCGAGTCCTGTGAACTAGTTCTAAACGGAAACTGTAATTTCAAGAGTTCAAACATAGCTGATGATTGATTATAAGCAAGTTTGACATGCTGTCCTTGAGCCCTGGAATCCCTCCCGGGGAGCCTTGAGCTCAGGTAGATCTCCCTTATCCTTAACTCCCTTATTAGATGACTAAAAAATGAATGCTATGAAGAGATATGCTGCATGATGAGAGATTGACTGTAGTGCTAAATTTAGATTGATCAATTCACTTGTGCATGTTTTTGGAAAGTGGGAGGAAACCGGAGAACCCGGAGAAAACCCGCGCGAGCACGTGAAGAACTTCGCACAGAAACGACCACCGACCTGTTAAAGGACTAGAACATGTGAAGTTCTTGCTGTTGGCCAACAGAGCTATCCACTGGGCCACCGTGTCGCCCTATGGATTGAAAGGTGAAGAGGTAGGGGTAGAAGGAGTGATTCTTCAAATCGAAAATGCCTGTAGTGAAAAAAAAACCATGGCTCTTTACAGTAGGTTAGGAATGGCCTGATTGGTGGATCATACATGCTAATGCAGAACCAGCCATGTTCAATCATAATCACGTGAGCCTCTCAAAATAAGTTTATGAATAAACTTCACTTTGTGTTAACCTTGTGATTAATGTTGTGCAGGTCCCCCGGTTATCGCCTTTTAATGAGCGAGTTTTAGCTACTGTTTATATACAATGCAGTAATTGTTTACATAACTTAAAAAGATAGTCGATGCCAATAGCCTAGTGGGTAAGCATCGAGGTGCTCATGGCGACCCAAGTTGAATTCCTAGGTCGAGGTCCTTTCTTGATCCTTCCCCTATCTCTACTCCCACACTTTCCTGTCTGCAAATCCCCACTGTCTCATCACAATAAAGATGAAAACCCCTAAAAAATAATAACAGTAAAGGTAAGCGGACATCTACACTGTCTGTTAAAATATTTTATAAATATATTTTATAATAAATAAATAAACAAACAGAAAACACTAGTAATCGAACGACAGGATCTTTTCATACATTAAAGGCAAGAACTGCAAGAACTTTATTCTTCACTCCAATTTTTACATTTTGTATCAGTGCTTGACATTTTCTTCAAAAACTGTGAAAACACGTTGTTCAATGTTTTAGTGATGCTCTTTCTGAAACACTGTTTTGTAAAACTTTGAAACTTTTACAAATGTATGTTTGAAGCAATGGCTTACAGTTTGTATCAAGCTGACAAAGTCAAAGGATTTCAGAAAGTTCAAAATGTCACAACTGTTTTGAAATATTTAGACATTTCAGTGGTTCACCATCTTCGACAGAATCACAGGAGCTTGTCTGATTCTGTAAAAAGCTTTTTTTGTTGCTTAATTAGATTCATAAGGTCAGAAAGAAAATAGTATTTCTGTGAATACAGTATAAATGTTATACATAAATATACATATAAACAAACACCATAAAACCACACACTAGTTCAACCCAATCAGGAAAACAATTATACACTGAATAAGCATAGATAATAAGATAAAATATCACATGCATAGGGCGGAATGGTGACTCAATGATTAGCACTGTTGCCTCACAGCAAGAATGTTACTGGTTTGAATCCTGGCTGGGCCATTTGGCATTCATATGTGGAGTTTTGTCAGATGCATTCTCATCCAAGTTGTTTATGAAAATAAAAGCTTTGAATATTTTTCCAAACACATTTAGCTAATACATGTCAGTCAGATAATGTTTCTATGTTCCTTCTTAATGCCAACTGTAGGAGTATGTGCCACTTTTGCTTGCATATTAAAGATAGATGATATACTTCACGTAGTTAAAGAACAAATATAAGTATGTATATATGCCATGTTAGTTTAAATGCAGGCACATTTATTTTGTGTTTATATATATGTCATAATTCTGATAGATTATGATATGTGTATTACCATTTCTAGCCAATATAGGTTGTGTCTGTGTATAAATCAAGACGCAAGTTTAATTTTTTGTTACTTATTGTTCAGGGCAGGGACGCTTGCCGGTTTATAACCTAGCAATTGTTTAATTAGACGAGAAAGAATGACAAAGTTTGACAGACTAGTGTAACGCCAGTACTTAGGCTGTCTAGTTTGTGGACGAACATTGTGTATGTTTATGCAATAAAAGTTCAACAGTGGCTCGAGTATCCATCATACTTGCCCTGAAACCCTTCCAGTGGGGAGATTATTAAGGTACAGTGAGTAACTTGATAAAAACTGGACACCAACTGTGGAAAGAATTATGGATAAAATGCTTATGATAAACCAATGTTTGTTTAACTTCAAGCTCTGCTTCAGTTGCTTGACGCGTGTGCATGTGAAGCAGCTGGTGAGCACCAGCACATGCGAAAGTGCTCCTCCATTTATTTTCATCAAAGTTGTTCACAATATCCATCCACAGAATTTGTAATGTCGTCAAATCTGTAAACATTTAGCATTTTACGGTTCACGTTTCTGCCTTTGGATGTCTCTAGGACAAAGCAGCTGCATGAATGCTAAAGCTTAAAATAAAAGTGAAACCTTCAACAAAAGCCCAACCCCTTCTATGTTTACAAATGCAAGCATGGCCGCTTAGAGGTAATTTCTGGTTAAGGATGTCAGAATTTACCGGTATTTTGTAATGAATTTTTGTAATGTAATTTTCCTGAAAAATTCCGGAACGTCCTTACCTGTGTGAACAGAGCTTTTTTGAATTTACTGATGAAGACATTTAGTTAATTTTCCATTATTTACCAGTACCACTGTGTGAAAGGGGCTATTTAAAATGTGGGGTTTTTGCATGCACAAATGAACCCTGTAGTCTCCATAGATTACTTTCTTCAGAGCCACATCTCTTAACATTTTTAGTTTTTCGCAGAGATAATCTTAGTGCCATTTTGAATCTGCCACTTTGCTGACACACAGGCATTTGTAGCTCTGTCCTTTTTAAAAAAGCTAAATTTGGATTCAAACTTAAAATGGACAGTTTCAAAGAGTTATATATATATATTTAAGAGTTACTATATTTTGAGCTGAAACTTCAA